CCTGGCCCACCACCCCTCCCCCATGACACCCCCACACCTGGCCCACCACCCCTCCCCCATGACACCCCCACACCCGGCTTTCCTCGCAAGGTGCCTCAGCTGTCACAGCTCAGATTTGTTTTCCAGGTTCACTCAAACTTAGTTTCCTTCTCTGCTTCCCTGAAAGTTTTGGCTTGCTTCTCTGAAGAATTATTTATTCAGTATGAAATAGTATGATAGTGCTCAGCAGGGAAAAAGAAAAAATAATCTTTGGTCCTTGCTTTGAGGAGTAATCAGCTTTCTGAAGTAAATTTTCTGTGATTAGCACTAAAATGAAACGATGCAAAGTAAGAGTTGGTGATATAGCCTTCAGTTTCATCTTGGATTTTACACTCTGGGAAGCATTTTTCCTTCCCGATACGTTTATTTATTGCCTTTGGCTGTAAATGAAGAAGTAAAACATCTTACATGATTCTAAATGGTTATTTAGTTTGGTCTTAGGGGAAGATAGCCTCTTCTGCATACATGTTGGCAGCCTGAGTGGGGTCTTTGAAGAGCCATTGTTTGGGCCCCTGGGGTCCCCATGCCCCCATGGCCTGCCCAGTGACTTCCCACGCCCATGCATTCTGTATTCACTTAGACCATCTCTTAAAGAGAAGAATAGTTGATAGGCTGGGGTTACCAGCAGGGAGGGGCAGCCTTAGGGAGGGGGCAGGACAGAGATGGAGGCTGGGCCACAGAGCAGCACAGGATGCTGCAACCAATACAGAGTGTACGCCCACGGCGACATCCCCGACGCCGCAGTACAGGATCGCCACGGTTACATCTCTGATGCTGCTGTGTGAGACCACACGGGCGCATGCGCCCAAGCACTGACACCACAGAAAACCCGGACAAAGCAGGTGGAATCACTGTCAGTGTTCTGATGCACATGTACCTTGCATCGGGAAACTTAGGAAAGAAGATATGGATCCCTCCACATTCGTTCTGACTAGTTCATGTAGATGCATGATTTTTTCAGTTGAAATGATCAATATTAAATTTAGTGATTAAAAAATATTGTGTAGAGCTGGGCACCAGTAACTCATGCCTGTAATCCTAACTACTGCGGAGGCTGAGACCTGAGGATTGCTGTGTGAAGCCCGGGCAGGAACATCTCTGAGACTCTTTATCTTTCAAAAAGCCAGACGTGGGGCTGTGGCTCAAGGAGCAGAACACTCACCTTGAGTTAAAAAGCCACGGGCAGTGATCAGGCGCTCAGATCAAGACCTAGGACCAGCACACACATGCACACACACATACACACACACACACACACACACACACACATACAGAAATATTCCCTATGGAAAGTGAATTCTATATCAAATTACATCTAAAAAAGGCAGTATAAACTTTGCTGGTAAAAAGCTGAACGAACTCTTATACATAGTAAGATGTCACTTATACAAAGCTTTACAAAAGCAGTGGCTTTTGTAAAAAAGCAGCCTCTTATAAAAGATTGCTCCTGGCTTGCCCCTCTTCTATAAATCGGATGCACAGGCAAAACAGATCTCTCCTTGTATCGAGCAAGCCAACAAAACAGCCAATCAGAGGAGAAGGCAGGCAGAGCTTCGGGAAGAGCCACACGGCCCGTGGCTACACCGCACTGGCACGCTTCCCTGTACCGTTTGTGGGAGCTCACACCTGTGTGAGGATGGTTGGAGGAACTGGGGTGGGGTGGGGTGGAGCTCCCTTCCCTGAGAATGTTGGACTGATGGACAGATGGGATGATGGACGGGGCAGATCACCTGTTCACACTCCCCAAACTACTTTGCTGAAAGCAAAGCTTCCCATTGGACAGGGACATTGTTTGGGCTGGACTGTTCCTTCCTGCACTTCTTCTATTTCTGCCAGCATGGTGAGCTCAGTGAGTGGACTCGGGCTCCTTCTCGTCGTGGACAGCACAGGCCATGAGACTGTTGTGCTAGCACACATTCACACAGTGACTGAAACTTCCATTCGGCTAGACCTAGACATTAATATGCAGAGGAAATGTCCAATCAACTTCGGCCAGATTTATGTCAGCAGTGCATGCTGTCCGTTTTGATATTCCCTCCATGTTTGATTTCCTAGACAGCATTTAACAGACTTTATGATACAGGTAGATTACAGTTCCACCTGTAGTAATTCCGGATGACCCCAGCATCTTGTGGAGGAGCGTGCCCCTTCCCACCCTGAAGGCTCCCGTTCTTCAGCCATAGAGCCCAGGGTATCTTGCTCTGCACACGCCCTGCCCACCTGCCCGGTGTTGCCAGACTTCCCCCAGCCCCCACCCTGCAAGTCCGGTGCCTAGAGAAGACTCTGGTCTCCAGGCCATCAGGTGCACTAAGGTGGTCATTGAAATGAAAGGAAGTGGCGCATGTTTGAAATGGTAGAACGGTTTCCTTAGATGCCAGTGTCGCCGGGTAAGTGTTCAGATAGTGGTGGTGGACTCCGGTGGATGAGCCCGACCCCTTTGAGGTGTGGAGGGATGGTTCACTGTCATCATTAATGTTGTCCATTTCCTCTCATGCAGCCTCACGGGGTCCAGAGTTCCTGATCTCATCGTGAGCATGAGCAACCAAATGTGGCTGCACCTGCAGTCCGACGACAGCATCGGCTCACCGGGGTTCAAAGCCGTGTACCAAGGTATGCTGACACATGTGGTCTGCCCGATGATACACGTGGTCCCTGAGAGAGATTCCGCCTGACACACACAGTCCCTGAGATTCCGCCTGACACACACAGTCCCTGAGATTCTGCCTGACACATGCGGTATTTAAGATTACAATGGGAGAAAAGGCTGTTCTGTGCGCATTATGGTAAAACCATTACTAGATCAGAACAATATCCCATAGAGACCCATTGTGAGCAGCTTCTGTGAAATACTTCATCTGTCCCTCTTGAGATGAGAATGCCCACTTGTGAATGTGTCACTGGACATACATGAGTCATTGTTGCCTGAGAACAAAAGGACACGAAGATGAGCTGTAAAATGTGAAAGTAATATGGATTGCCTGACACTTTCATATTTTCTGTTTTTTTAAAAACTTTTGTTTGTGTACTGTCTTGGGGCTTGAACACTGGGCCTAGGCTCTGTGCCTGGGCTTTTGGACTGACATCTAACACTGTACCACTTGAGCCACATCTCTACTGCTGGCCTTTTGATGGTTAATTGGAGACAAGAGTCTCCAAGACTTTCCTTCCAGGGATTTAGACATAACCTTTAGTTGAAATTCTACATGACTGTATGGTTATTCAAGAAAGCTTGGATGAGGTTTAATACTTTCCACATGACCCACACCTGGCACGGCCTTTGGTAGAATCTGGAAGCCTCTGTGAAATATCAAATCTGTCCTGAAATTCAGGATAACTTGCAGTGTAGTACTAGTTAGTATGAGTCATTTAGAAATGATATGGCAAATTAAGTAGAGGTCCTTTGTTTCTTGAGTCCTGTTTACATTGTTTATCTCCTAACATCCATGTGCTGTTTGTCTCACTGATCTTGGCTTACCTCGCTCAACATGATTCCTTCTAGCTCCATCCATTTCCCTGCAAATGCCATTATTTTGTCATTTCTAATGGCTGCATAATATTCCATTGTGTATAGATACCACAATTTTTGGATCCATTCATCTGTCGTGGGGCATCTGGGTTGTTTCCATGTCCTAGCTATTGTGAACAGTGCTGCAATAAACATGGAGGTGCACGTGTCCTTGTATACTGGTTCCTGTTGTTCAGGGTAGATGCCTAGAAGTGGTGACTGGGTCATAAGGGAGGTCAATATTTAGCTTTCTGAGGACCTCCAGACTGCTTTCCAAAGTGGTTATATAAGTGTACATTCCCACCAGCAGTGTAATAGGGTTCCTCTTTCTCCACATCCCCTCCAGTATTTGTCATTGGCTGACTTTAGGATGTGGGCCATTCTGACTGGGGTAAGGTGGTATCTCAGGGTTGTCTTTATTTGCATTTCCTTTACAACCAGGGATGGTGAACATTTCCTCGTGTGTCTCTTTGCTATTTTTATCTCTTCTTCTGAGAAGTCTCTCTTCAGTTCCCTTGCCCATTTAATGGTTGGTTTGTTGGGTTTGGGAGGGATTCGTTTCTTGTGTTGCCTGTATATGATGGATATTTGGCGGTTCTCTGATATATTTCTGGTAAATATTTTCTCCCAATTGGTTGGCTGTCTTTGTGGTTTGGTAGCTATGTCTTTAGCTGTGCAGAACCTTTTTATTTTAAGGTAGTCCCGTTTGTTGAGTCTCTCTCCACGGCGTCTCTAGTTCTGACAATTCCAACTGTGGGTCTGAGTGGCAAGATTGAACTCTGCCCAATTAGAATGGAACTGCTGCTTCCGGTGCTCAGTTTGATAACTAAGCCATTTGGATTACAAGTGCATTTAACTCTAATTAGTAATCTGTTGACAATGGCAACAGTTTAGTAATAGCTGCAGCCCACGATGTCCTGAGGGACGCGTGGCTGCCAGCCCTGGAGAAATGGCCAACTTAGTGTTAGGCATTATCTTTTGAGAAAACAATATTCTAAAACTAGAAGGGCACTGAATGTGAGAAAGCTAATATAATTAATTCTGAGGACTTGAAACATGGGGAACATATACCAAGAGAGAACATTCTAGAAATTGGTATTTCCAGAGTTACATATTAAGCTAATCATGAGAGATGCGGAATGATTGTCTCACAAGGGACGGTTTATATGTAAAGAAGGGGGACAAGGTGGCAAGAGCAGCATCTGCTCCAAAACCGTGTTGTGCAAACCAGGTGCACTTGAACTCGGAATGCAGGAGGAAGACCTAGCCAGAGCTTGGCATGGGTGTTCCCTTACTTAACCTTGGGGTTTCTCTATAGAAGCTTCCATCCCCTAAATACTAGTGCTCAGAGCAAAACTGTGAGCGCAGCGTGGGGTCTGAGAGGGCACTGACCCCCGCCCTCGTCTCCCAGGCCGCCAGTTCACATCCGCACAGGCCTTTGCTGTCTGAACTTCCTTAGGGCACCAGTGTGCCTTTTTGTCTTCACACTTTAGGCACCGTGCAGAAAAACACATGGCGTCCTGTTAACGTCCAGTTGACTCCTAACGAGGCTGCAGAGCCTCCATCCCTGGATCTCAGCCCCTAGGGTGGGCTCCACACTGGTGTCACAGCCCACGCCGGCCTGGCCGCTCCTCCCGGACACCAGGACCGGACAGTGTCCTGGGGTCGCCCGTGAGGCCGCTGTTTGTCACAAATAAACGGTCAGTCAGTTCAACACTCAAGTGATGCACGGCGTTCCTGCTCATCCCATTCCGTTAATCTGCCATCACTAGTTAGATTTTAGCAGGGGGTAAATGAAAGGAAATGTTGCTTGCGGTGTGCTGCGAGACCTATTTTGGGCGTGCACTAAGCATCCTCTCAGTACACTGGCGGAGCTTATCAGCACGGTCCCACCGCAGACAGAAACATCTCTGTCCCAGGAGCCCTTCTGTGCAGGAGTGAGGCGCGCAGCCGGCGGGGTGCTGTGGGGGGGCTGCCTCCACTGTGGCAGGGTTCCGTGGGGGGGGCTGCCTCCACCGCGGCGAGGAGCAGCAGCAGGTGGGGGGGCTGCCTCCACCGCGGCGAGGAGCAGCAGCAGGTGGGGGG